AGTATTATGGGGGCTGTATTGTGTAGGGGGGGGGGGACAGAAGGGTTAAGTATTATGGAAGCTGTAGAGTGTTGATGTGTTAAGGAATACGTGAATTACGTACGAAAACGTAAAATTGTGAGAAAAGAGAAGAAGTAAAATTTGTAAGGCGTTAACTTGGGCAAGAATTTCGTGTGAATTTCGTTGAAGTAAAGAAAACAGAACAAGTAGAAAAAGAGAAACTGTGATGCGTTGACATGGGGAGGAAGAATCTGTCAATTTTGTGCGAGTTCGTAAAATGGAAAAAGTGTAGAAATAAAAGGAAATGGTACATTATGTAAATTGTGTCCAAGAAAATACAATGGAAAAAGGAAGAAATAAAAGAACTACATTGCATTGACCTGGGTATAAATTAAGTAAAGTTAGCAAAAGTTGTCAGAAGGAGAAACGGGCGGTAAAGTCATGAGGAAAATGTGCGGATGTTGTTTATGTCACGTGGACGTAAGAACTGACAATTGCAGAAATGTCGAGAGCAATATGTGAGGTATCGTGGGGAAATCATGCGCTCGTCAAAGAAACAGGCACGTTCCCGCCAGTTGTGTCCTATTTGTCCAACTTTTGTTTTTAGCTCAACACATTTTATGTCCGTATAAAAACTCATTTCCGTGTGAATTTTACTGAAAAACGTTGGTTAAAGACACAAAGTGGGTAATTTTCCGTTTCCAAGGACTCTCAAGATCTGGAAGTTGTCAAAGTTTGCCTGCCATTTTCTCCCTAATTTTACCTCTGAGACCTGGCGACCCACACCTCCTTCAACTGTAACTATCTCAACTTCGATTCAAGAAAGATGGATTTTTTTTCCGGCAAAAGCAATACAAACGAACAAGCTTTATGTTTACAATAACTCCCCCCCCCCCCATGCCCTAAAATTGACGAGCGCCTGATTCCACTGCGACGCGTCACACATGATGTGAGTTCTGCTGGCCTAGAGTCTATGATGTGATTGTGAAGTGTGGTGGAAACAAGAGAGACACATGTGTGGACTTTGTACAAACCGCGGGGCTCTAGACCAATCATAACACGTTGTAAACTGCTATATAGAACAGCAGAGTGAATGAGTGAAAGAGATGACGTCGGCGTTGTTAGATTGGTGGTATCGCTCTGGGTGACAGTCCCGACAGGATGCGCTTGTTTTGTCACCCAACATTGCAAGGTATCCAAAAAGCGGAGGAAATTATCTACAATAAATTATGTAAATTTCGAGCACGTTTTTGTAAATCAAATGTGCCGTAAAACAATATGAGTAGAATGATGTAGCTTCTTTATGGGTCATTGGAAGGTAAACGCAATTAAGAATGTTTTGTTTTAGTACAAAATGTGGACAGGCAAATGGTGTGGTAAAATAGGGAGTATTAGAGGGGGGGGGAGAGAAAGGGGTAGAGTTGAGCGGATACCAGAAAGAGAATGCTGATTTGAGTGTGTATGTGTGTGTGTGAGTGTGTGTGTGTGTGTGTGTCTGTCTGTCTGTCTGTCTGTCTGTCAGTCCGT